GTCCCGGCTGGCTGCAGCAGTGTCCGTGCCGCTCACTCGCTGGGGATGGAGCTCTGCAGGAGCGCGGGTGTGGGCAGGGAGCAGGGCTCGCTGCTGGCTGCTGTTTGCACCCCTCTGATCCCCGTGTTCCTCCAGCGTGTTTGTGCATCCTTGGGGAATGACTCCCATGGAGGAGCGCTCCTTTGGTAGCCCAGGGGGTGGCCCAGCTGCTGGCATCACCACGAGCCACCCGAGTGTCTCTGGTCCCTTTCCCCGTGTACATTTGCTTTTCTGTCGCTGGTGGTGCCCTTCCCTTGAACACTAAATAAAGGTGCAGCAGCGTCGATCTCCGCTCCTCCTTGCCTGACTCTTGCTCCTGGGGCAAACCTGGGGTCTCCTGGCACCAGGGAGTGGGAAAATCTCACCCACCAGCATTTGCCAGGCATCACCATCCTGGTTTTTGAAGCATAAGCAGCATCTGCAGTTTCTGGGGTCACCTCAGCATGGTGGGCAGCTGTGCCCAGATGTGGGGTTGCTGCAGACAGCTGTGCCCACATGTGGGGCACCACCGTGCAGAGGGCAGCCACTGCTGCTGGAGACCCTCCAAGGATGTGTTTTGCCTTCCAAGGCTGGAAAAAGAACCCCTCAGAATCCCCAAGGAGCCCTGCAGGTGGCTGAGCCCCCCTGCCTGCCTGCCCAGGGCCCCCCAGCACCACAGCACGGCCAGGAGGTGGCTGGTGGAGCAGCAGGGCCACGGGAAAAACCAAGTAGCAAAGGCCACAAGCACCACCCCAGCCCCTCCATGCCACAAGCCAAGGGCACTGCTTTGTCACTGCAGAGATGTATTTTTGGGTTTCAGTTTGCAATAATTTAAAAGAACCTCACCAGCCCTCCAGCACAAGGTGGCAGTGCTGGCAGGAAGCCCTCTGTCTCCTGGGGTCACGGAGATGGGGTGTCCCCATGCTGGTCACCCCAGTGCCTGCAGGACTGTTGGGGCCAGGCTGTCCCCTGTCCCCCACACCTGGGGAGCTCCTGGAGGCTCTGGGATGTCCCTGCTCCCACACTCTCTCCCAGGGGGACAAAGCCACTGCAGTGGAGCAGGGCTGGTCCTGGCACTGTGAGGCAGCTTGGTCCATGCCATCTGCAGCATCCCGGGGCATCACTGGGACATCTCCTCTGGCCAGCCTCCACAGGAGCGGCGGCGGGGCTAGCGCGGCGCAGGGCGGTGCCGCAGCACTCGCAGGGACAGGCTGTCAGCGCTCTGCAGCAGCTGCCGGAGCCCGGCCAGCCCCAGCCCCGAGACGGCCGCGCCGTTCACCTGCAGGATCTCGTCCCCCACGGCCAGGAGCCCCGCGTAGAGCTTGGCCGTGCCAGCATCCGCCATCTCCTGCACGTAGACACCTGCGGGGGGAACGGGGATGAGTGAGAGCCCAGGGGCTGCACAGAAACAAACCTGTGATAAACAGCCTTTGGTGAGGGCTTGTGTCCCAAGCCAAGCGCTCCGCAGCAATGGAGCAACCCCCTGCACCCGTGCCCGAGCTCACCCCTGGGCTGGGATGGGAGCCACCACGGAGGGATCAGAGTGCGCCAAGCTTTGGGATGTCCCACAGTACCTGTGTCGGGCCGGCC